GGGGGGGGGGCTGGGGGGGGGGGGGGGGGGGGGGGGGGGGGGGGGGGGAAGGAGCGGATGGCGCTGGATCTCCCGCTCGGTGTCGCCGCTGCGTCGGCTGGAAGTTGCAAAATTGCAAAATTGCAATTTCCTCGCGGGGTTTCTTAAGGCTGTAAAAAAAAAAAAGTCGATAAATTGATCACTGAATTGGCAGCCCTACTGTTTTTATTTTCAACTCAAACTTGGATGTTTTGCAAAAGCCAGTGCCATCACGATCGTTACCTAGCGTCACCCACCACCGTTACCTTGTTCCGTGCAGGCGACCCGCTGAAGTACCACGCGTCCTACATAGCGGTGTGCCTGCCGTACGAGGAGGATTTCCACGCGCGGTGGCTCGTCGGGAAGGGGAGGCTGGCGTCGGCCACGAAGAAGACGCTGCTGCTGTGCTCGCTGGATCCGAGGGGGGAGGTCGTGACGGTGTCCTTCAGGTGGCGTAGCGTGTATTGAACATGTTGGAGGGCAGGGGAGACGGTGGGGATCATGGAGAAGAGTGGAGGAGGAGGAAAGGCGGTGGAGTGGAGGAGGAGTGAAGACGGTGGAGTGGAGCAGAAGTGAAGACGGTGGAGTGGAAGAGGTTGATGGAAGCAGGCTTGCCTTGGAGGACTCTTCCGTTTCGGCTGCCTCGTCTGGAGGTGCAGCGAGGGTTCTTCGAGGCGATGAGCTGGCCGATGGCTGCATTGCCGGGTCGAGTCTCCGTGCCGACAGTGCGGCCACCAGTGTGGCCAAGAGTCTTCCATCGCGTCTACTACATGAAGGGAGTCCGAGGAGCACGGTGGTTTTTGCCACGAGTCTCCTCAATCCTCCTTTTCGTTCTTTTCCCGGGGGAAATGGATCTTTGCCAGCTTTAATGGTTTCCAGAAAATTTTTTTTTTTTCGGGTGGTGGGAATGGCAGCACGAATCCCAAGAAATGCCAAAGATAAAAGTGCCAAAAACACGCCGGTGCAGAGGTGGGTCCATTTAGAAAATTATTTGTTAAAATGATTTTTTTTTTTCTAAATCATGTTTAATAAATTCTTGGCATCACGCCCTTTCAGTTTTGGGGCCTTGCGTTTTCTGTTCTTTCACTCTCCGAAAGGCAGATTTTTGCCATTTTTCTGCGATTTGGCACATCGCAGTGATCGTAGGGGGACACGATAGAGACAGAAAACTTGAATAAATATTCTCAAAAGCGAGGAAGAGTTTTTTTTTTCAGGTTAAGTTTTGCACACTTTCCCAACTGCAAGACGCCCGGCGAATTGCGATTTTAACGAAATTCGTTTTTTTTTGCTATGTTGTAATTATTTCCTCAGCCCCCCTTCCCCTTCCAGTATACACAGCCCCACATCCTGGAACAACCACGTTGATTCAAGAGGGCAGGGGCGGGGGGAAGGGGGAAGGGGGCAGGGGGGGGGGGGGCAGGGGGCGGGGAACCTCCCCCTATTGTTCCTGGATCGCAATGAAGCATGGCCCAGCCCAGCTGTGGGCCTTTCATTCAGGAGACTGCGACGAACCCTTTCTCGCTTACGCACTGAAATACCAATCGCCCTCCCTGGAGGTCACCGAAAAACTCGACGGGGAAAGGCTTATCTTTCGCGACTGACAAAAAACAAACGGTTCAGGACCTCCCTCTCATCCCGGCCTCGAGTTCATATCGATATTTTCGACAGCACGTTTTGTGGGTGGTCATCAGAAAATAATTACAGCTCTTATAATTTTAGAGCCAAAAGGCTGGAATTTGGCATACAAACTCCAATTGTATCACTCTATAAGTCTACCGATTTTAATTAAAATCGGCAGCCTACAAAGAGACTGACGACTCGCCAAAAATGATAGTTTTTTTTTTTTGGCCCACCAATATATATACATGGAAGACTCGCCAGTGACCAGCCATGGAAGACTTGCCAGTGACCAGCCATCTCGACGTCCCGAATGGCTCCGTGCCCATTAGCGTCCCCGCATCGATTGCCGCGTTTATCGGATTCCGGGAAGCGGGATGGGTCCGATTGCATCGATTGACGGCATCGGAAACGAGCCATCGATTGATGTCATCGGAAACGAGCCATCGATTGATGTCGCGCATCCGCCGCTTTTCCCGGGAATTGTCCTTTCCTATTTCTCAGAATCTACCCGCAAAACTCACTCGTTTATGAAAAATTCATATCAAAAGAAAAATGCGCGTGAAAATTAATGCGCGATCGTGCGTGGGGCACGCCCCACATAATCACTGGCGCGTACGAAAAGATAACAGTTGTCAAGATGCGTCGATGATGAGCTCCGATTATCCATTCTTCATCGGCGCCCTAATTAATTTCATCCCTTTTTTTAATGATTTTATTTTCTTGAAAATATTCAGAATCAGTACTAAGTACCGTTCTGAGCGCGAAAAGGAAATTTGCATAATTTTCCCTGCTGTTTTTAAGCAATATTTGCAATATTCCCCCCCCCATGAATAATTGCCCCCCCCATGAAAAATTGCCCACCTTGAAACTCATCGAAGCGATTATACTAATAGATAATAATATGAATGTTAAACTAACCGTGAGAGATTAAATTTGGCGAAGGAGTTGAACCGTTTCAGGATTTGCACCCATTTGCAAATTTTTGTGCAGGAAATGTTGGCATCCTGAATCGCGACGTCAAATTTTCTGAGCCTTTCGAGGAAATTTATTGCGACATATCGTGCCATTTCCGTGCCATTTTTGTGCCGTTCGCATCTATGATACCGTGCCGTTTCTGTGAATGGCCATTGTCTGCCTCATTTTTCTCGCCGGTCCGCATCCGCACAATTTGAGATTTTTCCTCCAAAAAGTCCGGAAGTTCAGGAAATCCGCGAGAAAAAAAAAATAGAAATCGCGTCGATTCGTGCGCGTGATTAGTACTATCGACTGGCATGAGGAGGCCGGACAATGAACGACCGGAACCGGAAAGGCATAGAGACGCAGCGAGGCACGGTAATTCCTGGAAACGCGCGCATCCCTCCCCCCCGGAGGCGCGCCTCCCGCGGGTATAAGACCCCCCTCCCCCCTGCCCCCGCCCGCCACAGCCATGCATCCCGCGACCGTGCTCGCGACCGCCCTCGCGCTCGTCCTCCTCCCCGCCCCCCTCCCCGCCGCCCCCCACGACTGGAGCTTCTTCAGCGGCGGCTGCCCCACCGGCCTCGTCAAGGGGATCACCAACCTCGACGTCAGTAAGGTCAGCCGAGTTTCTCCATTCCTTTCATCGAAAACTTCATAAATAATAATAATGATAATCCTAAAAAACGATAATTATAATCATTATTACATTCTTATTTTCATTATTATATATTTCCTTATTATATTTATTCGCACAAAGTAAATACATCTCAAAAACTGCAGAAAAAAAATCAAAACCTTCGGAACGTCGCAAAACTCGATCTCATCCCCGCCCCGCCCCGCCCCTCTCCCCCAGTTCGCCGGCAACTGGATCGTCGCCATGAAGACCAACACCGACGTGACCCGCTGCCTCCAGGTCACCGTCCAGAAGGACAGCCAGGGCCATCCCTTCCTCGAGGAGACGGCCGTCGTCCCCCTCGGGCCCCTCAAGGTCCTCGACAAGAGCCAGAGTACTTATAAGGACTTCGACAACAGCACCGGGCGGTACACGCTCGTCAAAGATGGCAAGTCTTTCGAGTCGATTCAATGTTAAGCTCCATCTAATTAAATGTTAAGCACTCCCTCTTATTAAATGTTAAGCACCGTATTAAGCGATTAAATGTTAAGCATTCAGTATGAATTTGAAAAACCTGTTTTGAATCATATTTTTTAATTATATACATATTCATCGAAATAAAACGAGAGTTCATGACATTTACTACATATCATATTTACCACATTTTTCTCTCCGGGACAGGCGAGGGATTCCTGGGCGACACCAACTACTACGTGCTGGCGACGGACTACCAGAACATCGCGGCCGTGTACGAGTGCCAGACCCTGCCGTTGGACGTGGGGAACCGCCAGTCGGCGTCCATCCTCGTCAGGAACGTGCAGGCGGCGATCGACAACAATGTGACCATCACTGAGGTGAGGGTTTGCCTGGCGGTTAGGGGTGGAGGGAAATTATTTCGTCTGTGATTTTTTATTATTTAATTAAGTAATATAATTTATTATTCTATTAATTAATTAAATTTATTTATTTATTAAGCGCTTTCACAAATTAAAAAATCGCACCAAATAAATACGATAAAATGCTTCCCCCACAGTACCTGAAAAAGATACCTGAGGGCGTCCGAAACCTGGACGTGATCTACCAGAGCGCCACCTGCCGCGACAACCCCGACTTCCAGCTGGAAAACCCAGACATCGGCGGCGCGGTGAAGCGAGGATTCTCGGAGCTCGGCAACGTCCTCCGCGGCGCCCTCGCGGACGTGGAAAGGCTCCTCAACGGCGGCAAGTCGAACGACAACCAGCCATCCACCACCCGGCAACCATCCACCACCCAAACCACCACCCGGCCACCATCTACTACTCAAACCACCACCCGGCCACCATCTACCACTCAAACCACCACCCGGCCACCATCTACCACCCAAACCGCCACCCGGCCACCATCTACCACCCAAGCCGCCAACCGACCAGCGACCGGCCCCACAAAAGATAACCAACCGTGAAACGGGACGCTTCACTTTCAACGGGACATTTCACTTGTCGTTTGTGGCTCACATGTGTATTTTAATTTTTTGTTATTTTTTTTTCCTATCAGCTGAAGAAAGGAAGCAATAAAAAAAATAATCCACTTAGTTTTTCGATTAAATCGAGCGATATTATCAGGTTAATTCAAAACTAATTTCCGTTTCTTGCCAACTGTTTTGAAACGATTATAACAATATAAATTATTATAATTATATTAATTATATTTTTGTATATTGTTTCAAGTTTGACGCGATAAATCGTGTTATATGTCATTCGATCGAGAAAACTGTCGACTTTTTGATAACATGCAATTCATTGTCTTTCCCATTTTATGTCGAAATAATAAGGGTAAAATGGATGATGAAAAAAAAAAAAAACCGCATATTCGGCAGTGCATCTTGTGGGAGCTGCAGCCANTTTGATAACATGCAATTCATTGTCTTTCCCATTTTATGTCGAAATAATAAGGGTAAAATGGATGATGAAAAAAAAAAAAACCGCATATTCGGCAGTGCATCTTGTGGGAGCTGCAGCCAGGCTCAAATGCAACGGAGACAGCGAAGAAGATATGCACCTTCTCCTGGAGAGGACGCCATCGCCGATCACCAGAATCGATTCACAAAGTTTCGGTCGAGAGAATTACCGCTCGAGGATGAAACCACGCCCTGGTCGCCCTTCGGAAACGATAGCGATGCGTTGGAGGAGTTAATCGAGGCTAACCCACGTGAAACCCATGTCCCCAACTTGCCGACTTTTCGTTCAATTCTTAGGTGGATTCACGCGGGTTGGCTTCGATTCGATTCGATTCTGGCGATCGGCGATGGCGTCCTCTCCAGGAGAAGGTGCATATCTTCTTCGCTGTCTCCGTTGCATTTGAGCCTTGCTGCAACTCCCACAAAGATGCACTGCCGAATATGCGTTTTTTTTTCATCATCCATTTTACCCTTATTATTTCAACATAAAATTGGAAAGACAATGAATTGCATATTGTTGGCAATTGGCAACAAACGGAAATTATTTTTGAATTAACCTAATACATCGCGGTCTCAAAATTTGAGGGCAAAGGTCAAGTCAAAGGGCGCATTTAAACACGCTCGAGTCTACAAGTAAAATAAAAATAAATGAAAATAAATATTATTTTAATTAATATAAATAATTAATAAAACAGGGCGATTCATGAAATGAAATTGTTACCCCGCCGCTACTAACTGAAAAACATCAATACCAGCAAGTGGTAAACATATATGAGAAAGTTCGAAGAAGCGGTGCGCACCCAATCATTCAGGAACGTTTGGACATTTGAAACAGTAAGTAAAAAACAGAGTAAGGCTCGCGTGGGATCGAGTAAGGCTCGCGTGGGATCGAGTAAGGCTCGCGTGGGACGCATACCGCCCTCCCCGGCGGAGGCATTCCCGAGCGATTCCGACTTCTCGCCCTTCCTCGAGGGCGTGCCGACGTTGTCCGTGCTGTTGGCTGACCCTGATGTTCGCGTGGAAGGACAGCGGCGATGAAGATTTGAAAGTTTCTGTCCGTTTTCTTGGTTATTTTTGCATGAAAAATTTTCAGAACCATCCAATTTAGCAAATAATACCAATTTAATATTTATTTCGCGATTTAGACAACTAATTGGGTCACGTGGTTACATTTGGGCAATCTGCGGAGAAATTGGCTGGCTAATGAATTTACCGGAAGGATGTGCAAAAAAAAAACACCACTGGGAGAGGGACGGGGACTCGCCAAAAAGCGGCGAGGCTGCTAAAAACAAAAATTCGCAATCACGCGTCTTCCTCGCAAAAAGTTACGAAAGCTGTTGAAGCGGTCCCACGCGATTCTTACTTTTTTCTGCAAGGGATTAGCGCGATTATTTTTGGTAGCGCCGAGCTGATCGGATAGACCCGGCTTATCCGGTCTTCGGATCCCGATTCCGTCTTTGAGGATTAGAAATCGTCTCTAGTTGCATCATCAGTTTCCCACTCAATAGTCAGGCAGCGGGCCTGCCATCTGGCGGCGGCTCGAACAAAGTTTCGCTCAACCGAAGCGAGATGACGCTCATGCTTGCGTTTCCGCTCGAGGCGAGGTCACGCACGGGTCAAAAATGGAGGTCAGGCTCTCGCGGTGGACCCCGAGACTCACGCCGAAAATGAGCCGTTAACTCCTCAGGATGTGGCAGAAAATCTGCACAAAATTTCGCAACGGTGAGTTAACGGCGAAGTAAATACAAGAAATAATAAATACTTAAATGTAGAATTTAAAAGAAATACAGCGTACTATTTAACCCTTGTACCATATCAGTTCCAAATTTGCAATGCCTGGGGTATTTTTGGCACCCCATAACGTTATTTGCATTTTGTGAATTGCTGAACTTTTTGGCAAATTAACTTGTTTTCACCTCATTCGCTCAAGCGATGAGCTGAAACTCGAAATGAAAATTCTGCAAGGACAAATTCATGCAACGTGCCACTTATTATATTGATAACAAGTACCAGAAGTACCACCGGCATAGAGAGCTTATCGTCGGACAGCAGAGACCTTTACCAATGTCCTTGACCGTCATGACATCCACTTCAAATACTTTTTTCTCGTAGGCAGCAAATGTAGCAACAAATCGAACACTAAATGAGTTAAGTACATTAATTGAATTAATTATAATCAATCGAAAATAGCATTTTTGAGTTATTTGATAAGGTGTTAACCTTATCAAATAAAATACGAGAGACCGAAAAATTACTTTTAAATTTAACAATAAAATAACTGGAATATTTTAAATGTTAAATATATCATTCACCGTCGTTCATTCTCCTTCAGAAATTTATTATAATATATAAAGTATTTGAAAATATGTAAAATAAAACTTGCAGAGGGCAGACACGAAAGCCACCTTTATTTATTCATTTATTTATTTATTAAAGAGTACGAACAATGAGAATTAACAACGAGAAGAAATCGCGAACGGGGATGGAAACGACGAATGCATTGCACTTTCTAGGGCGACAGGTTGCCCGGCAACTGCGGACCTGCCGGAGATCGACACGAGGGCAAGAAAAAAAAAATTGGCAGTCGGCGCGGATTCGAAATATTCGGAGATCAAAGTTCGCCGTTTGGGGGCGAATCACACGGGGATTGTTCAGCGTTGATCGTTATCGGAAAAACGATGCGGAAATACAGACGACCCCCCCTTGGGGGGGGGGGGGGTTGCTGTCCAAGTAAATTTCTGTCGAGCCGAAAGGTAGATTGTGTGTCGCCAAAACCAACTGTTTTCTCCACAGGCGATGGAAACAAGCTCCTCTTCTCCCCCCTTGGAAGTCGTGGGGCGGGGCGGGGCGGGGCGGGGCGATGGGAGACAGGTTTGCTCCGCGAGGCAGTTTACGAACTCCGACTGCTTCTATTACCGGTCTGAATGCATCTCGCTAACCGGGAGGTAACCGGGGGCTCACAGGTTTGTGAAGCGGTTCAAGTTGAGGCTTCTGTCGTCTCGAGGAAATGCGGAGTTGAGGGGGGTCGAAGTGGGGTCGTCGGGGGTCGTCGACCCGCGAAAGGATGAAAGATGATGTCGCCGATTCTGAGGCGTGATTTGCGACCGGGCTCCTTGTTCATATTGTTGCATTCAACAGGAATTTAACATTAATGTTAAATCACTGTTACATTCCGATCCTCAACTTGCCTCGTCCTTCAACACTCTCGGCGTTCGATTCAATTTCACTTCCAAAAATTGAATTGGCACGTAAATTGGCACGAAAACCGACGCAGTGTGTCGGTGTTCCCCCTTGGCAAGGTCGCGGAGGGAGGTTGCCTTGAGAGGTTTCGGCGACTCGCAGTGCAAATATGGACTTTTTCTTCTCCATAGGAAAGAAAAAGGTCACCGGTTGGATCCGAAGCCGAACTGTCACCGCACAAAAAAAGCCTCATTAATTGAAATGATGAAAATCTGCACAGCGCGGCCGAATAAAATGATCAGAGGGGTTCCCGCTCCGATTCCCCTCGGTTGCCCTCCTCGTCGTCCTCCCGGGGCGCCGGCTGGTAGGCCCCGCCCACCGGGGACGACCCACCGATGGGAAGCCGGAACAGCGAGGGCAGCCCCGCCCCCTGCCCCCTCGCGAAAGCACCCGCCACCCCCGCACTCGCGACCGTGTTCTCGCTCGGACCCGCCACGCGCTCCCCCGTCACCGCCGACGCCAGCTGCGCCATCATCTCCATGGTCACGATGGAATGCTTCCGGAGGAACTCGGGGTCCCGGCTCAGGATCCCCAACTGCTGGAGGGCCATTCTCGCCTGCGCGTTCACGTCCGGGAGGTGAAGCTTCCGGAGGGCCTTGGTCGTGAAGGTCACGACCGTCACCCAGTACCCGAGGCCCATCACGATCCAGACGATCACGGCCACCTGGTAGAACCACAACCACGACGCGTCGCCTTCCTGAGCTGCAGAGAAAAGCACCCGTCACCCACCCGTCAACCACCTGTCACCCACCCGTCAACCACCTGTCACCCACCCGTCACCCACCTGTCACAAAGTCCCCGAACCCGATCGTGGTCAGCGTGACGACCGCATAGTACAGCGCCTCCAGATACGTCCACCCCTCGATCACCGTGAAGATCCCCGCCGGCACGAACAGAAACAGCACGAACCCGATCATCAGGTACGCCACCGTCGCCACCGCCACCCCGTACCTTCGACCCAACGACTCCCGAACAACCTCCACCCCACCCACCGCCATCCACCCTCGACCACCCACTCACCTCTTGTGCCTCCCGAACCGACTGATGATCTTGCTCTCGAAGTGCCTGAGCATGAACCCGGAGAACGCATCCCCGAGCGCCGCCAGCAGCATCCCCGTCAGCGGGATCCCGATCAGCGCGTAGACCATGCAGAACAGCCTGCCCCCCGTCGACCGTGGAATCACGTTCCCGTACCCTATCGCAACCCCCGGTCGACCCCCGGTCAACCCCCGGTCTCCACATCCGACCCAGCCGAAAAAAAGACCATCCACACCCACCGATCGTCGTGACGACGGTCAGCGTGAAGTAGAGATAGGGGAAGAAACCCAAGCTGACCACTGGAGATTCCAACGTCTCCGTGTCTTTACACGCTCTCCTCAGTTCCTTCACGACCATCAGCCGCGTGTCGTTGTTCGAGGACTCTGCCAAAAAACAGAAGCAATCACTCATCGTTGCTGGGAAACAGGGATGCGACCGGAGGCAGAACGAATCCCGTCAGCAACCCTGCCTGCAGCGCCATCCCCCGCCGCCCTCCCCCCTTCCCAACGACGGACCCGTCCGCCACGAAGGCTGGAAGGGAACTGAACGCTCTCGCTGCGCGACGCGCCACCCGACCGGGCCTGAGCGCCGCGCATGCGCATCGACGTCCAATCACGGCTCGTGTCTGACGCCGCGAGAAATTTTCAAAATTCAAATTTGAAGATAAAAATTTTCTGGTGCGAATTCAGCCGAAAACGGCCTGTACCTCGTCTCCACATGCCTACTAAATATTATTATTTATTTTGATTGTTATTTACAGCTTACAGACTTCATCGTTTTCTTGAGGAAAGGCGGCCCCCTAAGAACGCCCATCCACCTCAGGGCCATGCGACTTCGCTCCGAGGAAGCCGAAGAGACCACAGGACGACTACAGGTGGGAACTCGGACGGCAGGCGGAGAAGCCCCGATCATTTCGCTCCGACCTTCCCTTTCTTCGTCAAAATTACGCAAGCAAATAACTTCCAATAATTCCCTCATCCTCTCGCACCGGAAACGCCACAAACGCGTCCAGTTCTCCTCCCATTCTCCGCGTCGCAAAATAATTATCGTAAATCGTAGCATCAGAAATCTGCGCAGAATATTACGAGAACTGGCATAAAACGGAGCATTTACGGCGTCGAGGGAGAGACACCTCACTCGCTGAAAATGCACGTTTTCTGACTCCACTCTGAACGACTGTCCATTTTCATTCAGACGACCTAGGTACATGAAACCTTCAGAAAACAAATTTTATGGTGTTTTCGATGTGATACGAAAACATCAGACCATCTCAAACGGGTTTTATAAAGCGTCAGACAGAATGAGTTTTTTTTTGTTTGGCAGGAATATACAAAACACAAATCGATTTTTATTATTTGCTCCTGCATCAAGGACCGAAATAAGTCCTTCGGGAACCCGGTACTGGACGTGGGTCCACCTCGTCACCGAACCCGGTGACGGTTCGGTGACGTCACGGCCGCGACAACACCGCAAGAACCACTCGTCCGAGACGGAGAACAGGAGGAATGCAATTGAAGGAATGTAATGATCGTGGTTGATGGTCTCGCTCCCCCTCCGCGCAAGGACCTTGAAGGGACTTGCCTTGCCCGCGATCGAGTGCGTGCAAAGGGCCACCACATTCCTCATCAATTACAGCCCGGAAGGCAAATCCCGACCCCTCGTCGTCCTTTTGCCCCGTCCTCTCATTGCTCCCGTCTTCCCTTTGTCGCGTCCTCTCGTTGCTCCCGTCCTCCTTTTGCCGCGTCCTCTCGTTGTTCCCGTCCTTTCTTTGCTCCCGTCCTCTCATTGCTCCCGTCTTCCCTTTGTCGCGTCCTCTCGTTGCTCCCGTCTTCCCTTTGTCGTGTCCTCTCGTTCCTCTCATCATCGATAATGCACATCTAAATGCGAGCTTCGTCTCGTTGTTTACAGAGCGTATTACGGCTTGCCTCCTCCCGTTTTGTGCTATTCTTAGGGTTTGCTCATTTCTCATCCTGTGCCAAAAGGAGAAGAAATTGCACTGGCGCGAATCGGGTTGCTGATTCGCGCAATTTCGAGTTCGAAAGGGTCAAGAATTGCTTTTATGAGCAAAAAGAAATGTTTTCTGGATGATGTCGACCTTGAGATTTTATGCGTCCTCTGCCAAGGACACATCGTCGGTCCGCCTGGGAAACTCCACCTGGGTCATGTCCATCTGATTCATCCGCGTCCCAGGCGGATTTTATTTTTGTCCATACCCTGGATAATTTTTTTTTTTAGGGATGTGTCGGCACTCGACTGACGATTTTTCTCGCGGCTTCGTCGACGATCCGGGGCTGCCGATCGCTTGCTCGCCGATTTTCGTCCGGCATTCGCTCGCCGAAACGCGCGCGAGGTGCAAAGCATTCACGTTCGCACTCGCGACTTCGGCCAAAAAAAAAAATCGGTACGAGATCGCAGGTGGCGCGGAAGTACGACCCCCCAAAAAAATAATATCTCATCCTATGTAAACAGATTATAGTCGTAAAACCATTTTTTATATCCTCGTGGCCTTCGCCTCCCAGCGCAAACAAACTCAGCATTCAGATTCCAGTTCCCCCAAGCCAAAACTGCTCGAGATGCCCACCACAGCAACCTCCACGCCCCACCCGACCCCCCCCCCCCCCGCCCCCCCCCCCCCCCCCCCCCCCCTGGGGGGGGAGGCTCCCTTGACCTTATCCCTTTCGTTTGAAAAGCTGGCTGTGTTTTGGCGATTTCTCGGAAGTGAACCGAGAAAAGCGGACTTCATCGACCCGAACAAATGAAGACGTCTGGACGAAGCTCTCGCCTGTCAGAGCCTCCTCTAAGAAGCGTGGGTCGGCTTGTTTGTGTTCGAGACACAGAAGGGAGCCAACCGATGGAAAATCCGACGTAATTCCGCATTTTAGTCGACTTGGCGATAATCTGACGAGGAAAATGGCGATTGCGATGAGCGGCGATCCCGAATTGCTAAGGGGAATTACACGATCGGGGACTTGAGACTTGGAAAAACAGATAGCCGCCGTTTTCCTTATCGCGGCATCGATCGGCGACCGTGGACGTGACCGTGGTGAATGACAAGTAGCCTCACAGAAAAACCGGCCACACGTGAGGAAACCGGCGAGAAGGTAAAAGCGAAGCATGTCCATTTCGCGATTATATTGGGGAAACGTGACCGTCCGGGCTCTGGTCGTTAAAGGGTTAAACGCGTTGAGTATTCTCTCAAGTCGGGCATTAAGCCCTGCTCACAACCCTTCTACCTCGCAAACGACTGTTTCGTTGACGCTTCGTCCAAGATACGCGAGAGCTTCCCTCTTAAAACCTACAAAAATTATCCAAGCGAAGGTCATGGTCGGTCCCCTCGTGAGCAAAGCCCCGCCCCGCCCCGCCCCGCCCCGCCCTCGTTCTCAAGCGTCGGAAGGAAACCCCGAACTACATAAATCCGCGTATTCCGGCCATGCCAACACTACACGCCACGAGATAAGCCCCAGATAAACACCGAATCGCCCCATAAAAAAAAAGAACATTTCCCTCACGGAAATCCGCGAAACTGCGCTCCCTCAGCTGCGACGAATTGCAGACGGAGGCCAGCTTCTCCCAGGCCATCGCCGCCTCCTCCCAGGCCTTCTCGTCACCTTCCGTCCACCCTGCAACGATTCGCAGCCTCGCTGGTGTCAGTCCGACATGCCAAGCGTACTCGTTAACTAAATAATTAGTTAATGACTTGCCAGCGAGGAAGGCGAGGTCGTCGGATCGCTCGGGGGTCTCCTGCTCCTCGAGGATCATGAAAACGGCAGCCCCGAGGGCGAGGAAGACGATGTAGGCCAGGGAGCGCCTCAACACGAGGCACGTCTGCTTCCTCGTCACGGGCATCACGAAGGCTGTTCACACGCGCTCGGTGCAGGCACATGTCATGGGATGCGCGTCGGGAGGGGGAAAGGGCGCGACTGAGGCTGATGGCGGGGAAAAGGAAGTGGCCTTGGCACGCTGCCTTTGACTGACCGCCGGGCGTCGTGTGACGTCACGAGGGTCGTCTGCTTGGGTTCGTTAGTGAGATGGGGATGGAGGGATGCGGCTCGCAAGGAGGTCTCGTAAACATTCGTTTGTATGCTGGCATGCAGATATAAACGTCGAGTTGGTATCGCCAGACTGGCTGCGTCTGGGGTCGTGTCGTTCGTGGTGCATGGGTTTCTCAGGGTTGGGGGTGTCGGGTGGCGACGTGCGGGATGGTTCTGCTGAGGGTGAGATGTGAATATGAATTGAGGGCGGTTGGACGGGGAAGGATTACTCTACATCATCTGTCTTATGCTTCTGTTGGACGGCGGCATTTGCAAACAGATTCCAAACCGGTTTCGATCGCATTACATGCTGCACAAACAGCCCCCGGGATGGGTTCAAAGTCCTGTTTTCCTTTATTTGAATATTTCATGTCAACCCCGATGGAACCACTGTTCCACCAGGAAAACAGTCGGCGGAAGCGAGTTCGATAAAGCGGTCTACCCCATCCGGTCTGAATAAAGTGGATTAGCAGTTCAGGAAGTGGGAAAGTACCGTTGACTATCTGCTGTTAAATATATATTTGTGATTGCGAAAATCTGGCGATCTCATATATATATATATATATTTTATTGCATTCAACGCAGGTGGGAAGCGTGGCAGGAGAGGAAATATTCGAAGGAAAATCATCCAGAAAATCCAACACAGGAAGAATATAGAACATAATGTAAACCAGAGATTGCAGCATCCCACACATTTTCAATCATAGCTGTTAGAATTAGAAAATGGACAAAAATTCCACAAGGAATATCAATGAAGCGGGAACATTTAACGAGCACGACACGATTCAGGAAGTCTGAGGCACTGGGAAATAACATATGATCATCAGCTGATACAGGAATGAGATTTACTTTGACCACAGTTGCTCCTCCAGCCTCAGTTGCTTCTCAAGGAACTCCAGCTCCTGCTTCAATCTCTCCGGGTCAGAGTGAAACCAGATCCAGATCTTCCGGTTCAACTCTTCCCAGACTCCTTCTGATCTCCTCTCAGCCTACAAGACATTTTTGAAAATCATATACTGTATTAACCAATTTATTATTTTTTTAAATATAGACACACCAAGAATGTGAGATGGTAACATGTAAGGACAGCCAATTACCCCAGCTGTAGCCTCAGCAGCTGAGGACGAAACAGCCGCCCAGTGAAGAACCCTTCCATAGGAAGGCACTCACGAATGAGTTAAAGAGACCTTTGTACGGGATTTATTCTGGGAGAGGGAGTGTCTGATGCTGAGATATGTTGCCTCAGATCAAGTCCTTGGAATCTCCTCTCCAATGTGCATAACAATCCATGACATTCAACTTACAGCTTCGACTGCAACTTGTTTTGCCTCCAGCAGCTCCACCTTCTTCAAGGCTTCGGCCAGCACGGCAGTCGCTTCGTCGGCCGAAGAGGAGGCGGACCGAGGTCGATTGGGCACCTTCTGTGTCTCCTTCCATGCCCGCTCTGCCTGCCTGCCTTCCTTACATCTTGAAAAAATAAAAATCATGACTGTCACTTCAAGACCTGACCTTAACTAGCACATATTTTACTTTAAATCTCAACTTTCCATCTTTTGCTAGGAAATAATTTGCAACATCACATTTAGATTGCCTAGATTACTTTCCAACAAATTATTTCACTGTTGCACAGTCATTCAGGATCTTTTACCGTTTCATCCATATCAATAGGTGATGAGTCATGTGGCAAAACACTCCATGGTGAGAGTGCATGGAATAAACAAAGCTTATCATCAGAGTTCATTACTGCATATCTCACCTGGCCTGGAGGTGCAAAAAGAGGCGAGAGATGCTCCCACGATTCTCATCCTGGATTCGTTCCAGGGAGGCTCTTAGCTCCTGGATGCCACAAAGGACACGTGGCAAGGAAGCCCCCAAGGTCGACCCATCCAGTTCGGACAAGATCCTGTTGAGTGCGTATAACAACGGGTCTTCGTCCACCGACTTTGAGGCTCTCTGCCTGCCAGAGCTTTCCTATGGTTAAAGAGCTCATTCAGATGAGTAAAGTAACATGACCTGGCACATACTTTGTATGCAGGTAAGTGTCCCGTTTGGAATTCGGAGCAGAGGAGTGGATATCAATAATTCATGGAAAACCCCAGGCCCTAGAGGGGAAGCACCTGCTAAGTTCTCAAAGGAAGCCATTCCCCTAGACTCAGTGTTGCAATCTAGGATACTAGAGATAACAGGCAAGGATCCCCATTGCCTCTGGTGTCCACTTCACAGGTTTTTCCCACAAGTCATACCCTAAGCAACAGTCCACAGCCTCTGCAATCATGCTTCTCAAAATCACTCTACAAGTTCTTGGCATGATAGCCATCACCTTTGCCCAGGTGAGCCCTGAGACCTTTCCTCATTCCATTGTACATTATTTAATACTTTAGGAATGATGCAGAGATTATGATATCTATCATGCTCATTAATATAAAATAACTGAAAAAATAATCAATTAGAAGTTATTATGTTTTTGCTTATCAACACATTAGTCTAATGTGACTGAAAAAGGGTTAAAATTAGTGTATGCAAATTTAAAAGATAAACTCATTTATGAGGAAATTTCCTGTAGCTCAACCTAGGCATTGTCCACACAATCTTTACCAAGGCAACCAAGAAGTTATTCAATTAAAATGTTATAATTGAGACAACACATACTGAAATTAGTTTTTCAAAACACTGGGGGAGATAGGAATATTTACATGCAAAATACAAATAATTACAGAAACCTTGTGAGCAAAAGGGCAACAAATAATGAAGGTTCATTGAAAAGCTAATGAAATCTCTGACTGGGGTCCAAAATTGCTTCTATTCAAAATTTTGCAATTAGCAGCCCTATAAATAAAAAAGGATTTAAAAAAAGAGGATAAGAATCAAGATGCTGCAAAAAAAATGAAGGAACAAGCCATCAAAATGCTGATGTTGACTGGGAGAGCATGATATGCATTTCAAAATTCACTTTAGATTCAAAGATTCAGATGCATACAAGCTATATTTTTACATTTGTCCTTGAATGCCCCAAATTTATATATTCATAGCCTTTCCTGTTTATATGGAAGAGTATTAAAAGTGATATTTAAGGTGGTTTCTTATAGCTTAGAATCTAATTTAATGACTGGAATTAGTATTAATTTTATGTTCACCTAATGCCACAGGCAACAGTTTTCGCAGTGATACAGACAAACTGATCACCATGCATTGTCCAAGGGCAATACACCAAACACTTTTAAAGGAGAATGTAAATGTTTGGGTTTTTTATGAACATGTAAATGAGGAACAGTTTAGCTAGCTAATTTCAAGTAAAAGCAGACTATCAAACCTTTTTGTAATCCACAATCTTGGAGAGAGCTTCAAAATGCTCCAATGTACTGCTGACTTTCTCATGAAGATCCTGGAGGGCAAAATACTCCCCTTTGAGGAGGAGGCAGAGCCAGAGGTGCCGTGCACAGGCTGCCAGAAGCAGGGCTCGCAGGGGGAGCAGCACCTCCAACTGCCTCCTTCCCTTCTGCTCCTCCGATAAATAGTCTCCACATATCACAGACATGGGGTATACATTCTCACATTCCCTCAGGAGTGCCTCAGCCTTTTCCCACAGATCCGCATTGGCCACCTCAATGTTTAGCAGTTCTTTCTTGAAGCATGAAATCTGCTCCCTGCAATGGAAATTGGAGAAACAAATGTATAACATGTCCTCAGTGGAATATAAGATAGGAAAAGAGTGGCCACAAGGAGATATTCAGAAGTTTTTCCTTCCTTTTGAAGTACTGCAATTTTAATGGGCCGATGCATTTATTACCGCTAATACAAGAAATGAAGTTGTGATGTGACATTCAAGATTTCCAGATTTGATGTTCTCAAAATTCATGTATTGACTTAACTACCATAAGTTGAGATATAAATTTAAAAAAATACATGAAACGTGATATTTGAATATCAACCTACTGTAGGATCTGAGGGTCAGATGGCAATGCTCCTAGCTGGACCTGCTGCAGGAGCTGGCGAGCCACTGAGAGCTGCATCAATGCAGCTCCTCTTTCAGCAAAAAGCTTTATTTCCTTCCTTTTGTTGCACAACCATGCAGTCCTAATGAAGTTGAACTGCTTTAGGCGATCTCCTTCCTTGAAGGAAGTGGAGGTACTTGCCTCACTATTGAGAGTCAGCATAGCAATGTCTGGCACTTTTCCCTTCTCTTCATAAGTTGACAACATGCTGAATCTATTCTGTGCAGCGTAAGTGTTTAGGGAGACAAGGAGTCGTTTCTCCTTCTCTTCATATGAAGCAAGGTGTGCACTGAAGATCCCCGAAACTTTGAAGGATTTCCTCCTGGAATCCTATTCAAGGATTAAATTCATGCTTTGTTCACATCAAATATTAAAATTGGGCTCAATTGACAAAAATCCCATCTCTTGATGGAAAACTAATCCACTCACATGTTGGCCAAAGGATGAGACAAGTGCCTTTGTTTCACCAAGGATTCGGCAGCTGTCTTTGATTTCCCTCTCTATGAGCTCTGAAACCCAACGTACATCTCGTTTCTTCTTGTCGTCCTCCTTCTCTCGTTCAGACTTTCTTCTCAAGAGCACTTCCCGCTTCAGCCTCAAGGCTTCTTCTTCTTGGCTGATAAAAAAGTTTTAAAATTCTGCAAAATAAAAATGGAAGCATGCCTACGCCAATTCAGGGCAGTATCTGGCTCACATGAGGATTTGGCGTTGATGCATCAGTTTCTTCTGTGATGCATTCAAGCTAGTAATTTGCTCCATCAGGCTGTTACGAATGAGCTCCAGCTTTGCAGAATCATCTTCTTCATCCTCGTCAAGATCCTCATACTCTTGTAGTGCAATCTCAAGCTCTTCCTTCTCCAATACATTCCCTTCCTCCTGCAACAGCTCAAACCTATCATAGACCAAATGAAAAGCATGAATCAATACATGGAGTAGAAGTAAGTCTACTGGGCATAGGACTAATCGTAACTGTTCTGAGATGTATGCAATAGATTGAAGTGAAGTTCTGAGAAAATCTAAATGAGCCAAAATAACATTTACATTTTCAAAGTGCAAATTTGATCTCATCAAGAGTGTTTACTACTCACTTTTAATTTCTGCAGATGACGTTACTTTATACACTGTCCTTTTATAGAATGGCAATTACTTCTCTTCATTCTTGACCAATTATATCCATACATACTGTCACAGAAATGTATTTATGCTCCTCCTCCCCCATTTCTTCAAGTCATAATAATTCGTCAGTAACATACCCAATGAGGTACTAAACGGGGCTCACTACCAGACTGGGATTGCCTAAACTAGTTTTTCTTTGCTAACATCAATGACTTTTTCAGTCATTCATCCTTATGACCACTTTCCTCATATTTTCTTGAATCAGATGCTCAACAAGACATACTGGTGCATGGTTTCGGTGGTTGACTCAATAAAATAAAAAAATCGGTTTGAATTAGTAACTGAAGTTCTTTATCAGTTTGGAGAACTTCCACTATGCAAAAATGAACTGAGGCCTGTGGGCAATGAGATGAAATCACTGCAGGTGTAGGCCCAAGGCTATTATTAGGCCAAACACACCAACTCACTCTCTGGCAACATCTGGTGGAACAATATGGTCGGGCTTGACATGAGTGGAGAACCAGTCCAGGAAACCTCCTATCCTGGCATTGCCATTCCACCAACCGATTTCGACGTCGGCTAGCCGCTCTTCCTCCGTGAAGACGCCCAATTTCTGAAGCTTTGTCAGGAACTTGCGGGTAGGCTTCGGGTGAGTCATCACGATGTCGAGGTGGCACTCGAAAAGTCTCGTGTCCTGTTTTAGCCTAAACTATCAATAATTCGACTTCCATGTTGGTAGGCCAAATGCCAACTGGTCTCCACAACATACCTGCTCTAGCACGCAGGCCTATTCATCGGCCTGCCACCACGCTGGCTTTCATGTTGATTAGAAATAAGAAATATGCAAAGGTTTAACTGCCAAAGCCTAACATTGGCAAAACACAAACTGGCCTGCAAGCTTAGGCCTGCGAAACAAATGCCCGCGTCTGGGATTAGGCTAAAGTGAATCTCCAGCAGATGTCGCGGCAGTAGCATCGGCAAACACAGATGTCGAATTACCATGTCTATCGTTGTCTTTCTGATGACCACGAAATCCCGCGATAAGATAAGAAACTCTCATATAGATCTATCTCATAACGTATAGAGGTAGTAAATTACAGTTGTCAGGCACTTGAGCAAACGACAAGTCGACGTGGCGAGGAGACCCAAGGGACCGGATCCAGCATCCTGGTCCCATGGTCCCTCGCTTGGTCAACGTGGGTTGTGGTCTTCGAGCAGGGCTGAGGCAAGCTCGCTGTGAGTGTGGGCTGTTGCGCAACTCATCACGTCGGCGCCTCAGTAATTTAGCACAGTTCACATGTACCCACTAGGCTAACGTTATCAAATTCTTGTAGACTTTAGCCTTTAACCTAGGCTCTTGGCTAGGTTTGGCCATTGAGAATGCACTAAGTTACGAGTCATTTTGGAGCTGATGCTGCAGATCGAAGTGCTAATGGTAAACATTTGAGTCGGCCGACGCCTTGGTTCTTTGGTATGGGGCATCAACAAAGCCTATGAGACATCACATATGAATTCAGGGCTTACTTTAAAATTGTAAAGTTAACCATTCTAGGCAGTCATATAGCATGAAGATAAAATCAGTTTTGTTTTTTTTTCTCCTTGGCATAATGAATAATCGACATTTTAGAAGTAGAGTGGAATCAGTATTCAAAAGTTCCATTTCCAACTTCTGCAATAAAAAAAATACTTCTCAATGCTATCTAGCTGTGGTTTGGATGAGGATTGAACTTTTACTCTGTTAGGCCTGCAGTACCAAAATCAGTGTCATCTCTTTTTATTCTTAAAAATGGACAAGATGTCTCTGCAGTTTTCCAGACTAGTTTTCTATTTGACTTGATTTTGAGTCTTCTCATGTGCATTTGCAGCCAACTACACTTTTCCTTGTCATGGTTCTTGTTTCCCATTGTGACAAATGAGGGCAAAAAGGAAAGAGAGCATGACATTGGGAATGTTAAATGAAGTCAGGAGCCTGTATACTCAGCCTTGAGAAAAAGCACTAAAAGGGTCCACCCTTTGTAACAAGCTTAGCAGGGTCTATTTGGCCACAATGCATGTTCCAGGTGGCCAGCCAAGCGGAATAGTATATGAATAGGTCATGGCCAGTGCCAGAGTCACTTGTGGTACTCTTTGACAGTAATTTTTTTTGCTGGTTTCAATGTAGTTGCTCTTGTCACAGTGAGGTATGTTGGGAAGAGGCACTCAGTGGAGAAACACTTCATTACTATATGTAATATGACAGAAAAGTCAGTTACTCCAACTTGGACCTGGAAAAACCAGCTCAAACAGACTGCAGCTTTGATTTCAACAGCTTACACAAGTGGAAAAGAAGTGAGACTACCCATATAGAAACATCACATATGATTAAGTACAATGTAGTCTTAAGTTTTGCAAGGGTGTGCATTTAATGGATAGGAGTAAGTAGATGTAGGTGCTCTAGTCTTATATGAAAATCAATGCCATATTTTTTAAAAGTAGTTTCATACATTGAATGTATGTGATTAAAGTTCATATACTCAATATACACAGATCTATGAGCAAAAAATGGCATTTGTATGAATATATATGGGATATCTGCATGTAACTGCCATAGGGATCAGATGAGAAACACCTGATGTGTTAATGTCAGTGCTTATGTTAGATGTTGATGGAAGCATTTCAGCACATCTAAGCCAAAATATTCTTCCAAACTAGAGAAAGAAGTGACTAGTTCAGACCCTCCCAAAACATTTGCCTGGGCCATGGAGTAGGCTGTTGCCTACATGCTCCCTACACATGTGGGAGATGACTCAGAAGTGAGCCCTGTGCACTCACTGATTGTGCAATTGGAGCCTGCTGAAGAGAAGCAGGGTCCGCATAGGGACAACAATATGTCTGTTTGGTGTAGGGCCTCTCACATGAGAATCTTCCTCTATCGCTTGTGCCCATTGGTGGCTTTTGTCGTCACCATTATGGTAGCACTCCACTTTCTCCTGCCTTCTGCTGAGCATGAGGAACAGGTATGCATCAGTTTCAAGTCCTTACATTCCTGACATACATCTTGCGTCCTGAAAAAACATAGACCAATGGTGGCCAAACTCCCTGACCTTAGGAATTGCCAGGCAAAATCATGGAAGCTTGAACTGCCTGGGGGCTGCAAATGGCTCACAAGCCAGAGTTTGGCCATCCATGATAGTATGATCAAGGATATGCAAAATTTAGGCATTTTTAATGGCTGCTCATGTTCCCTATGTTCTTCTACATTCCATTAAAGAGGTCATCAAAACCTCATGCCTTTTTTTTAAATACTTTATCCTGATATTTGTAACCTAAAGCAAATTTGAAACTGAAAGGGAGCATCACATGTTTTTTTGGGACACTTTAGATGAGATTAATCTTATCTTTTAAAAGCTTGTATTTTTTCATTCTGAAGAAAAATACTTTGCAAGATAAATTTGACACTTTTGAACACATGCATATTTAATCACAAACTTATTTTTTGGAGACTTTGTATAGAATACTGACTCTGCTTTCAGGGAAGAATTAACCCAGTGCTAAAAGGGGAAGAGGTACGCCCACGTCAAGGGGAAGAGGTACACCCACGTCAAGGTGGTTCACCTGTGAATGTTGCTGTCTACTATGAATCCTTGTGTCCAGACAGCCGCAACTTTGTCCTGAATCAGCTCCAGCCAACTTTCAATATACTTCCATCCAATATCATGAGTACATCATACATTCCATATGGCAAGGCTGAAACGGTGAGGTTTCTACAGTTTTTTGTGCACTGGAAAATAATATCATTATTTAGTTATTATGGAGAGATTGTTTAATTTCAGATTACAAATCATGATGGAACCTACTCCTTCAAGTGCCAACATGGCCCAGAGGAATGTCGCAAGAACCGATACCATGCCTGTGGCCTGGTACAGACTGGGAACGATCAAGGAGAAACCGTCAAGCTTGTTTCCTGCCTCTTCCGCAATTGGCGCGTTCAGGGACGCGCAGGGGATATTGAGGCTTTCAAATCTGTAATTTTAACATCATGTCATAAAGCAGTATTTCACTATGATGACAATTGACACGTTGATTGGGCCTTTTGAAGTGCATAGAAGCAGTACCAGGTGGGAACTGGCAGACTCTCCAGGATTGTGGAGATGGAGCTCAAGGCAATCAGCTCCTAGCCAACTATGGACAGATGACTCACAGTCTCCAGCCTCCCGTCACTTTCATTCCAACAATACTCATCAATGGGGTCAGTTGAAGCATTAAACGTTGATTCTTACCTACCCGGTTTTGCAAGACTGATTGTATCTTTCCCTTTCAGGTGAAGAGTGATGAAGCATTTAGAAATCTCTTGCAAGCTGTCTGCAATGCATACACTGTAAGTTTCACTGCAAGTTTGAGTCTATATTGAACAAGAAGGCATAGTTATTGTAAATGGCTTTTTCTTTGTTCCCAGGGTGAGAGACCCCAGGAATGTGGCTCATGAATTGCTGATCTCATCTGTGATCATAACCATTGAATGAATGACTGATCATCTGCATTGTTCAGAGTTACCCAAAAACCTTACCCTGAGTATTTAAATGTTCTTCCTGTTTAATATTTTATTACCTGTGTGAATAATTGTCCTAATTAATTTGGCATTTTTCAAATTTTCCTTTGAAGTCCATTGGTTTTACTTTTGCTGTTGCTTGATTCTGTGTGCACTTGGGTTTTGGATAGTTATTGGGAGCGAATCAGGTCCTTTCCCCCATATTCAGAGTTTCAGACTTGCCTCTAAAAAGTTGCCAGTGCTGTGTTTTTACAATTGCTTGCCATTTTACCTCAAGGAATGAGGCTAAGTCAGTAGCATTTGTATTATCAGATTTTACTGCTAATCATTTTACCAATTTTTGGCAGAATGTCATTGTACCTGCATAGAGTTTGATATATGTGGTGATGTTCCAAGAGATTTTTAACTTGCTTTTCATCTCACACTGTTCCTTTGTTTTTTGTGTCTCATGTGATCCCATGAATACAAGTGATACATGTCATATTGTTGAGATTGGAATCTGGTAAGCACAATCATTCCATGGACGAGGCAGGTGAGCTCAGGGACTGCAATGCATCATTCCTTTTTTAAATAGGTACTTTCAATTTTAGGCTTTCAATGGGTACTCAGACATTTTGGAATTGTGGGAATTCCTTCTAATCGAATATAGACTTTTTAATGGTATATAAATGTCTTTGATGACCGACTTGTATTGGAATGCTTGCTAATGGAACAATCACAGCATCTTGCATGAAAGGACACAAACACAATAGTCATCAATGCATTATGGCACTCAGAATTTTCATTCTCAGGTCAACCTGATAAACATGTTGTATTTAATAAGGAAAAGTTTCTGTCATGAGTAATTATTCTGATTTGTGACACTTTCAAGTGAATTGATTATTGTAACTTGGTTCCTTCCTGGTTTCAAGTGCTGTGAATTAAATTTGTAGGCAAGGACCTGGACCAGCACAGCCAATAAAGGCACTCAACCCTCATTGTACAAATTTAAAGTGCCAAAAGGTACTTGGCCCATTTGAGGGGTCAACCTGATACCTCAATATTTTATCTTATCCCAAAAAGGTGCAGGAACTGTCCTTGAATTTCAGCATGAAACAAATTCCAAATCCATTTCTCTCAAGAAATTGGGTCATTTGGGAAAAGAAACTGAGCACATATTTCAAAGACCAGAATCCATACTAGGGGAGTCCAATTAAGAACTACCAAGACATTAGTGTAACTATTTTTAACATATGGGCCTTCATAGCCATAAGGCCTTCATTTCACTGAAAGAGTGACAGGTGAAGCAAGCTCAATCCCATGCACTTTTCAGGTATATTAAGGGTAAGAGAAGTCTGTTGGATCAATATTGCTATCCAGGTCAAATTAGAAGGGAAGCCCCTTTATCAAGGGGCATTGAATTACATCAGGCTATGTTTGCAGTAATTACTTCACTGATATTTTAAATTTATTATTCCAATGGTCACAGTTGCTAAAGATACTCATCATGAAAAGTAACTGAGACAATCAAGATAATTGCATTTTGTTGAGTTTTGTGGGAACAAGACTTTTCAGTTGCATTCAGGCAATTATGTTTAAATCTTGACATACATTTGGGGAAAAACAGGAAGATAAATACATGATAACCATACAATGTTTTACCTATGATATGTTTCTTCATTAGCAAAACACGAGAGGAGAAATTCCCATGAATATGCAACAATGGTTTCTCACACTCAAAACATAATGATATGGCTAAGGTTTCTTCTTGCTCTCCCTGTTCATGGAGAGTGTGCAGTCCAATCAAATTTGGTGAGTGCTTCTCATTTGGGGTAAACTAGAAACAAAATGTTAATGAATCTCTGAATGGACTCCACAGACTTGGCAAACCCTAAGCCTATCCTCAACATGCTTTTGTTGGATTTCTGAGTCAGAAATATGAACTAGGTCACAAAAGCAAAGGAGACACGAAGATAAAGCTGTCTGTGTACTATGAGACCTTGTGTCCAGACTCGATTGAATTTTTCCGTGACCAATTTCTCCCAATCTGGAAGAACATGGCATCATTACTCAATGTGGACCTTGTTCCATTTGGGAAGGCTTCTGTGAGTTTCCTAGCAATGAAAAAATTTGGGCTTGAGCTAGTGCCATTTAAAAAAAAAAAATCTAGAACAGGCTTTTCACTTCCCTAAAACCCAATATCCTCTTGAACTTACAGTACTTTTCATTTTAAAGGTGGATACATACATCATTGGACACTGAACCTAATGCCAAGAATTGCTTGAAAAACTCCTGCTAATACCAAACTTACACCCACAATGGGGGAGTGAATGATGGACAATAATAGCATATTTTCTCTTTCTCATCCCTCACAATGCAGGGAAATCCTAGAAAGTGACAGTAGAGCCCCTTAAAGACCATTCTAGCCTACAGGCATATCTTTGACAAATGTTTGTCACTCCACCATCACAACTAATGCCATGTCTGACATCTTGTATTTTGATTCATTGTCTACTATGACAAATGATCTAGGCCATAACATGCTAGCAAATTGCCCCAAGCCCTCTAATAGCTGAACACTAGCTTCTGTGAATATGTACATGTAGCTGAAAATAAATTCCATTTTGAAGTGGGACAAAAAGATATTCCAAGGGAGAAATGAATCCAGGCAAATGAAGGACAAGGTCTCATGGATGAGCCATGTGAAATGTCAGCATGGGCCCCAGGAATGCAAGGGAAATACAATCATGGCTTGTGCCATCAAGAAGAACCCTAACCCAAAGGAACATGTCCTATTTATCATCTGTATGATGACCCATCCAGATCCCATCAAGGCTGTTGAACCTGTAAGGCTATCACTCATTCCCTCTTCCTCAACCTACTGACTGTTACAGTAGAATAGCAAGACATCTCAAGTAGCTAATGGGTTTTCTTCACCCAAGGATTAGTGATTCCTAGAGAAACTAGAAGATTCCTTGAAAACTAGCATTATGTACCTCATCCAGTAATGACCACCAACAGAACATACAGCATATGATCACTAGGCCACCAATGAGTTAAAACATGCTTTCCTAATGTATAAACCATTATGTCGTTATTCCCCAGTGCATGAAAGAAATGGGAAGGAAGGCAGGTTGGGATGGGGAGGGCTTGAGGGAATGTGCTGCTGGACCAGAGGGACTCAGATACCTCCTTGAGATGGGGATCAGGACCCTCCTTCTCACACCCACACCTTTCTTCATACCATGGATCATCATCAATGACGTATGGCATTTCCTCCCAAGTTCCATATGCACTGATATCAACTCACTGCCTTTAGTATGCAATAACATATTGGCCTCTTGAAGTTTGCACTAGAGTTTTATGTTTTTACTTTTATTCTCTGTCTTAGGAGCCAAAATATCCAGAGGCAAACACAAACTTCCAAAATGTCATGTGCAAGGCCCTCGATTGCCGATATCAAGTGGCCATCTGTGAGTGCTGAATAGTAGAGTATTAATAAAATTATAAATAAATGGATAAATAAACTGCTTCATGAGCTGATTTGGCTTCTAATCCACCGCTATACAGGTCTACAGCACACTTTTCATAGGTATGCAAAGAAAGGAGAGAGAGATTTTCAAAACATTCACTTCACCTAAGCTGCTCCAAAAAGCAAAATAATCTCAATATTCAAGGCAGAAATAAATCCCAATTTTTTTTAAATGGTAGTGAGTTGACCTCAATCATTTTTAAGGATATTCTGATTCATTCTGACACAGGAACTGAGGTTGTTTAGTAAAAATATATTCTTGGAAAACACGATCAGTCACATACTGTTTTCACAGGGTGTAGTCTGAAGACACTCATTTTCCTGGAGCTTTCGTTTCTTCCTCTCGTTCACACAGGCAATGCGAGTCTCCAGGCTCTCTTTACAAAACCATAAGGTCACCATGTGAATATATGACCTTGAGGCTCAAATTAATGATGTGAATAAACAGAGGGAACTCACCACATTTCTGTCTCTGAAGAAGCGGGGTGTAGTTTCGTGGCAACACGCCGGTCTGCAGCCACAATGCCTGGCCTTTCGCAGACTTGGGCAATTGGGGCTCCAAATGACCCAACATGCTCCTGATCATCTCGGCTCTATGGAGAAATCTCATGAAGTATTTCCAACTGACAAGGAAATTCACAAACAAGGGAAAAGAAATCCTCACTTGATGGCATGCCTAGCCCAAGCTTCTTGGAGTTCTAGAATCACAGTTTTGAGAGCTAGCTCATCAAATTGCCACTCCAAACCATCAAACTGAGCATCAAAGAGACAGAGTGAGAGCTCATGTGCCATTGCATACACTGGCTTGCTGAAAAGAAAAAGCTTCTAGTAAATAGCAAGCAATTTTTTTTTTTTTTTTTATAAATAAAAACTGACTAACCATGGGTTTTTGGAGATGTCCAAGAGCTCTTGTATCACAGATGAGTCCTCCTTCCCCTCTCCAATGAGAAGCAGGATGGCCACAATGCACCGAATTTGGTGCCATAAGAAACCCTGGCCTTCAATGGTCAGGACGAAGAGATCATAGGGACTTTGTTGGTCTGAGTCTTCTGTCCCCTTTGTTAGATCCAGTGTGACAGAAGAGATCTTCCTTGTGTAGGTCAAGACTCCATTGTTCACATCCATTTTGCACAAGTTCCGGAAATCATGCTCTCCGATCAAGGATAGGGCAGCTTCCTGCATGTGCTAATTAAATCCAATCAACAATACTACATGATGAAAATTAAATGATTATAATGCAGACTCTATGAGGACAGATGTCTCTTGAGGCTCACTTCAATATTAAGATTCCCTCGAGGTATGAAGTATTTGTAGGTCCTCTGCACGCAGTTGAACCGTGCAGAAAAACTGGATTCAACTGGAGCCCATGCTATGACACGTATCTCATGAGGAAGCACTCGGTTTAGCATGTAACTGTAGTTCAGTTCTTCTGATCCACTTGACATTGATGGATTTGGGGTTATAACACCCACACCATCCTTAGCATTACTCCTCACATCCAGAGATATCACCTGTGAATTACCAAGTGAAGAAAATCAGAAATAAGAACTCATATGCCACCTAATAAATTGGGGTGACCATAAACTCAAAATGTTAGTGTATAGCCATTACAAATGGGTATATTATTCAATAAGGGCAACTACCATTCTGTATGTCTGATGTTATCTGATGCACTCTCACTATAAGTGAGTACATATTAGACTGCATAGTGTACAGGGTGTCCTAAAAGTCACTTTACCGAGATGACATGTGTTCCAGGGAAAAACTACTTTATTTACAACCAATCACCAGCAGAAAGTGACAATGAGGAGCTACAGAATTTGTTTAAATTGTTGTCCATCATGTTTAATGCACATTTCATATCTGCAAATAAAAATCTGAACACGAGTGAAAATAATCAGTTAAACACTTCCCTGTCTTGGTAAAGCAACTTTTAGGACACCCTGTATTTTGGATACTCTTAGGATTCAATCAATTTTTGTCCTTCCCTTTACCAATAAAAATGAGTGATCCATATCCTTTCAACAGAGGTAGCTATGAAAACCCTCTTTTCTCTTTGTAGTTGCTGAAAGGCCAAGAAACTATATTTAAATCAGCTTTCATAGTGTTAATATGTAGCACCTTAGGGGCTCCTCCTGCTAATAATGGTTATGAAAATTTTTGCATTTAATTTTAAACTGTAAATGTTGAAAAGAAGTTTTCTCTTGCTGGCAGTTGAAAAAGGGGCACTGTTCTCATAAAATAAAAATGATCAAGCTGAGGCTGATAATCATTCACAATCCAAACCTGAGTAAAGGCAGAGACTCCTTTGTCGGTGCGTCCACACCTGTGATAATTCGAAGTCTGCCTGCTCTCGACAAGCTTCGTTTTGGCAAACGCCTGAAAGAGTGCTGCTTCGATTGTCTGTTCAGTGTCATCTTGTACAACAAAGCCTTGGAAATCCCAACCAAGATACTTGATCCAGAATGCAACATGACGCTTTCCATGTCTGAGATAAAACAGGTAACCCCATGCATCACAATAATTAACATTCATAGGGTAGCATCATAGACCTATAAAATACATTTATTTAAATCTTAGCTTGAAATGTCATTGACCTACATTAGGCACATCCTGCCCCGCAGAACTCACTTTGAGAAGTCAAATCCTCTTGGCACTTTCTTAGCTTTCCCACGCCTCGGCTTTTCACCGTCACAGTCTTTCGCCACTAGCTCATCAATATCCATGATAAAAACACCAGGGAGGCCTATATGCAGGCCTAACAAATGAGGCTGCTTCCAATCGAATGTTAGAGAAAATACCGACAGGGCCTGACGATGTCCACGAGGTAGTGTAAGGTCCCAGGTGGTGTAAGGTCCCATGCTTTCCACAGGGATGCACCCCTACGATGGTCAAACCAGACGCAAATTCATTTTAAGTTTCAACGTGCAACTTTTTACAGCTGGATTTACATCTTTTAAAATGTTCACACTTCTTTTTCTAATATTTAATAGTTTGCATTCAAATTAGGAGCAGTATCAAGTTAAAGATTTGCCTCCGGTATCCAACAACACTGGTGAAGGACCTTGAGAGAGTGTCGTCTGCTAGAGTTCGCAGTTACATAAACACGTGGCTGTCTTTCTCAGTTTGCATTGTTTATAGAAATGGCTCTTCGGAAATTACTGCACGAATTCCAACGCTCTGGACTCCATAGGATTTCTGCAATTCGGAATGTGTCTCACACGTCGAAATCCGGTAAGGATAGATAGTGGCAGTTCCTTAATAGGAACTGTCTAGCCTGGCAGTGAATCCATGAATAGGTGTTAACTTGTTACATTTTTGGATTAGTTCGAGCATAATGGGGGACAAGAAAGAATTGCTGGAAAAGATAATGAGCAGAGCTGAGCAAAATGTTCAGTATTTAAATGCAAAATACAAATGCCCATGGAAAAATGTATTGTAAAGTACAATTGAAAATATAAAATATAAAAATTTTCAAGTTTACATTGTCCTTTTCAGATTTTGTCCAGAATGAGGAACCCTTGAGAAGTTCTGACCATTGGCCTTTATAGCTCTTAGCCAGAGCATGGCATTCTTTCTGTTTTCCTTTCTGAATCCCAGACTGCTCCACCTTGTACCATTCATAATCCTCGATCTGAATGTAGTTTCTAAGAGCTAAGAATATAAAAATTAACCTGCATTGGCAAGATTCAGGCTTGCACAAGGCCTAGGTTAAAAGGTGGCCAATATATTGCAAATTGAAGACCTTGCTTCGGCCAAGGACAAGGTTAGCATATTTACACCAAGATATTGCAACCCAATCAACCTTCAAATGTATGTAATAGTTGGATGTTGCAGCTATAGTTCCACTAATCACTTTCTCTGTAGATCATGCTGCACATTTGACCTTGACCCATTACCCCCCTCTCATTTAACAAAACTAAAGAACTTTAATAAAAAAAAGGTAAGCCTTCTGAGGTAGTCATGATTGAAGTTGCACTGAGCCAATAAAAAATTATTTTATATTCTGTTAAATGTATTTCAAAATGCATTTTTTTTGCAGAGAACTGTATTTCAAATACAAAATACAAATACATATTGAAATACGTATTTAAAATGCAATTATTTTAAATACTGCCCACCTCTGATAATGAGCGATATGATTCTCCCTTTTTCCAGCTACAGCTACAGCTCCTGTGGTCAAAGAGAAACACAGTCATGCAGGAAATGGTACATTTCCTTTTTCACTGGCCATATTGCAAATAGGCCCATAATAGGCTAACAGTCTAGATGAGGAATACTTTACATAAAGGATAACCTTTTGTCATTATTTTGTAGCAACATTTGATTGGAAGGATGCTTTAAATTTTGAGAGCCAGTTGACCGAGGAAGAGAAGCTCATCCGAGATTCTTGTCGTTCGTACTGCCAAGACAAGTTGATGCCAAGAATCCTGATGGCAAACAGGAATGAAGGTGGCACTTTCATTCTTTCAGTAGCTTATCAGAAAAGGGGCAAAAGGAGCGAACTTGTTTTGGTTTTTTTTTCATTTGCCAGTTTTCCACAAAGAAATTGTGACTGAGATGGGTGAACTTGGCCTTCTGGGGCCAACAATTTCGGGCTATGGGTGCCCAGGCGTCTCTTCGGTCGCATACGGCCTGATCGCCAGGGAGATCGAGCGAGTGGACTCCAGCTATCGTTCAGCCATGAGCGTCCAGTCCTCCCTCGTCATGTATCCCATCTGGGACTACGGCACCGAGACTCAGAGACAGAAATATCTGCCTCGACTTGGTAAGCCCTGATGCTTTGAGGATGCTTGGAAGTTCTGATCGTGAGCCATTACCAAATGATGGAATTTCAGCCAGAGGGGAGCTGATTGGGTGCTTTGGGCTTACGGAGCCGAATCACGGGAGTGATCCGGGTGGCATGGAGACTCGAGCGAAGTATCATCCACGTAGCAAGGTTTACACCCTGACAGGGAGCAAGACATGGTTTGCATTCCATCCATCTCGTCCTGCAAATTGTCCTGGCTGATCTCATTTGTCTTTTTTTTTTGTCCTCAGGATCACCAATTCACCAATAGCCGACATAGGCATCGTTTGGGCTAAGTGTGAAGACAAGAAGATCCGTGGCTTCATCATTGAGAAAGGGATGAAAGGTCTCTTATTTCCCAAAATAGAGGGAAAGTTTTCTCTCAGAGCATCTGAAACGGGCATGATCGTGATGGATGAGGTGGAAGTGCCTGAAGAAAATTTACTTCCAAATGCTGAGGGACTAAGAGTAAATTCTGTTTCTCATTTTTTTTTCTTAAAAGTAAATTTGATTCCTCAGTGATGTTTCTCCTCCTGCAGGGTCCCTTTGGATGTTTGAATAATGCCCGCTATGGGATTGCATGGGGGACGTTGGGTGCAGCAGAATAGACAGAACTTTGTCAGTCCTTAATATACGAACTATCTGAAGTCAAGTTCGCGGGAGAGCGTCGTTTAGTTAACGGGGTCTTCTTTTACCGGCTGTACGACTGTCTTTAACGGTAACCGGAGGTCCGGTGCCTCCAAGTCGGCAGACTCAAGGATGAGGGCAAGTACGTTGCCAGCATTCACAAACTCTGATTTCCAGTTGATGTTCTTGGCATCACAAAAATTGTTTGCATCGGCACAGGGCAGCCCCCGAGATGATTTCCCTGGTGAAGAGGAACTCCTGTGGCAAGAGCCTGGAGATCGCTCGCACAGCTAGGGACATGCTTGGTGCCAATGGTGTCGCCGATGAATACCACATCATCCGACATGTCATGAATCTCGAGGCTGTTAACACTTATGAAGGTATCATATTCTTACCTTCTTCAGAAGTTTGCTTTCATGCTATCCTCCAAGTTGGAAGCTGTGTGTATGAATATTTTGAAACTTCTACATGTCATGAGTACAAAAAATTATACCGTTGCTCCTACTGAGGACTAATTTTTTGGTGAAGTAGAACTAACAAATGGTTGGGCAGCAACGACTAAAGTGAGTACTGAAAATTCCAGACTTGAGATTAGGCCACATCACTGTCTTCTAGCCTGAAGAGTCAGATGGATAATAAGCTGTGGTCCTTGCCAAGCAGTTTGTTTTGCTCCAATGGAAGTAGAGAATCTCTGAATCAGGCCTACTCATCTACCATTGAGGGCCAAAGGAAGGGAACAGATCCATTTTAAAATGTGGAAAATTAATTATAAAAGTCATATCAGTTCTGCAGTTTTCTTCCTCAAATTCTGCATTATTTTCAGCAACCCTATTTGTTTGTGATTACCCCAGGAAAGAGATCAATGTATCATTTTCCATTACCCTCAGGTACGCACGACATCCACGCCCTGATCCTCGGCCGAGCCATCACGGGAATTCAAGCGTTTACTTCCTGAAAGCCAGTGTTATAACAGCTCATATGTGATGCAGGTCGAGTTTTATTTCAAACGCCATAATAGAGTGTTCTGTTTCTGTGATGATGCGTCGAACCAAACGTGCAATAAAAACCCAAACGATGTGAAACGTTTCAAGCGGAGCAGCAGCGGGTCCAGCGGAGAGCCATGTGCCCCGAGTGGCTCAACCCGTCGAACGAAGCCTCCCAATTCCCCAGCTTCTCGGGGACGAAGTCGTTCCTGCCGACGCCCGGGACCAGGATGCTGGTCTGGAACGAGGAACCGGACGCCGCCTGGGCGTACTTGTCCTGGATCCAACGAGAAAGCACCCTGCCTCAGTCGTTTGCAATGACAATTATGGCATCTGTAATTCTCCTCGAGATTTCACCCGAGACTCTTCAGTTGTTTCTGGTTGTGGAAGCATTTGATCTGAAATGGTTCTACCAAGAACTTGATCATATTCTGCCCCGTCGAGAGTCTAAACGAGTGCATGGAATGTACTAGTAGATTTGAAAATAAACCTGATGAAATCATGAATCCTTCCCTCCCTAAAAGCTTTCTCAAACTCCCCTGAGATTCATCATGCTCGAACATCCCAGGACATCATCATGCCAAAAACCCTCACAGATGAAACCGGGGAGAAGGTAAGCCCTCCATCGACCGAGTACACCACGGAATGCTCCGGCTCGTCCTGAAAGTACGTCCGCCCCGTCGCCGCATCCCACCCGGTCACCGCGTGGACGTGCAACGGGAGGATCCGCCAGGGGGAGGCACCGCCGGGCTGGGAGGCGTAGCAGAGCACGGCGTCTCTGCGAAAATTCGCCAAAATTGCGATTGTGCTTTTATTGTGCAAAATTGCGGGAGTTGGGACTCACTCCGTTGGTTCGATGTCGCAGACGAATGCAATGTCCTGGTGCTCGTCGACTACAAAGTGACGGTTCCCTGCAACTAAATCATTCATTTAAATCATTTCTGTAACTTCTTTCTTGAGTGCAAATATTTCCTAGCAAAATTCGCAACTCCACCTTCCACGTTCGTGACCCTCGTGTCCGGGTTGTACGAGCAGACCGACAGCTCCGCGGGCAGCAGGATGTTCGCCACCTTGCACCCGTAGAAGTCCGCCGTCATCCCGAACGCCAGCTTGTCGTTCCCCGTCGCCTCCGTCTCCAGGATCACGACCCGAACGAACCGCGTCTTCAACGGGTACGTGAGGTTCCGGGAATGCGGGTACGTCTCGCTTGCTGACACAGTCACTATCTAAAGCAAAAAAATTTAATAAATAAAAATTCAATTTTTAATTTAAAATAATTTCATCATCATAAAAATTGGGTACGATGCATGTGGAAGCAGTTTACTTATTATATGGTAAATTGTAAGTGTAATTGTATTTCCGTTTCATTGAGCCTCCTCGGGTGTGGAATGTTGTTCTGACGATGTTTGTAACGACTGGTGATGGTATGCTGATGATGATGGACTAGATTCCACGGTATCTGCAATGCCGTCTGTGTGCAATGGGGAATTGAAAAGAGAACAATTTTTTTTAATGCATATCTTATGAAAAGAAAACGGAAAATGAAATTATTCCATGTTTTTACATTATATATTTAACTTTTATTTTCNGATGTGAACAATGGAGTCTTGACCTACACAAGGAAGATCTCTTCTGTCACACTGGATCTAACAAAGGGGACAGAAGACTCAGACCAACAAAGTCCCTATGATCTCTTCGTCCTGACCATTGAAGGCCAGGGTTTCTTATGGCACCAAATTCGGTGCATTGTGGCCATCCTGCTTCTCATTGGAGAGGGGAAGGAGGACTCATCTGTGATACAAGAGCTCTTGGACATCTCCAAAAACCCATGGTTAGTCAGTTTTTATTTATAAAAAAAAAAAAAAATTGCTTGCTATTTACTAGAAGCTTTTTCTTTTCAGCAAGCCAGTGTATGCAATGGCACATGAGCTCCCACTCTGTCTTTTTGATGCTCAGTTTGACGGTTTGGAGTGGCAATTTGATGAGCTAGCTCTCAAAACTGTGATTCTAGAACTCCAGGAAGCTTGGGCTAGGCATGCCATCAAGTGAGGATTTCTTTTCCCTTGTTTGTGAATTTCCTTGTCAGTTGGAAATACTTCACGAGATTTCTCCATAGAGCCGAGATGATCAGGAGCATGTTGGGTCATTTGGAGCCCCAATTGCCCAAGTCTGTGAAAGGCCAGGCATCGTGGCTGCAGACCGGCGTGTTGCCACGAAACTACACCCCGCTTCTTCAGAGACAGAAATGTGGTGAGTTCCCTCTGTTCATTAACATCATTGGTTTGAGCCTCAAGGTCAAATATTCATCTGGTAACCTTGTGGTTTTGTAAAGAGAGTCTGGAGACTCGCATTGCCTGTGTGAATGAGAGGAAGAAACAAAAGCTCCGGGAAAATGAGTGTCTTCAGACTACACCCTGTGAAAACAGTATGTGACTGATCATGTTTTCCAAGAATATATTTTTACTGAACAACCTCAGTTCCTGTGTCAGAATGAATCAGAATATCCTAAAAAATGATTGAGGTCAACTCACTACCATTTTAAAAAAATTGGGATTTATTTCTGCCTTGAATATTGAGATTATTTTGCTTTTTGGAGCAGCTTAGGTGAAGTGAATGTTTTGAAAATCTCTCTCTCCTTTCTTTGCATACCTATGAAAAGTGTGCTGT